TGGCCATGATCACTCCCTGTAGCAGCCGTCAAGGCAAAGTGTTCATGTCTTGTTGATGCATTGCTGTGGGCAACTGCTAGTCCCAACAGCCGACGACAGGTCAGCTCATCCTGTGGGTACTAGTTACTCCCTTCAGGCGCGAGGCCCTCTAAATGGTCTCCCCTAGTACTTAGTTACGGGCCCAGAAAGAAACGCGTCCGCTCGTTGGGAGAGGCTGTACAGTCCCCGAGGGCCAAAGGCTGACTTGGCGTCAGTATGAAAAGTGTCCCCCCAAATGCACGGGGGACACTTTCCATACTGACGCCAAGTCAGCAAGTTTTACCAGCTACACAGACTTTTTCCAAGAAGGCGACAACGCGGCTTGGAGGTATGCGTACAGCAAGCCAGAGGCCGAGGAACAAACATCGCACCGTACCACACAGCGTATGTACCCCCTCACACAAGCAAGCATGGTGGGCCAAGGTTTCTCACGTGCTTTTTTCACACAGCGGGGCCTTGTGACGACGTATGAGTGCTGTGTCCCCAAAGTGCCCCCATGTGGGCGTCCAGTACTAATAGAAGGTTAAGGTCACACACACCCTGGAGCCCCCCCCCCCCCCCCAGAAACCAAAAACATCGCCTTCGGGCTGGACTCTGTCTCCTTTCGGTTGCTTGCTTGATTTTTAATTTCTTACACACCCCACGACAAATCTGTTCCGCAAAGAAGAGTCCGTGATAGATTAGCAATGGATTTACAGCCAGTATTTGTCTTTTATGTTGAAGGTTGACGTGGTGGCTGTGGAGAACGGGGTCGCGGTGGGGGGTGCCTGGTACCCGGGGGGGAACGCCAGCTGCGCCGTCAGCAAGATCGACTACGACGTGGACGCCTCCCTTTATCACGTGTTTGCTGTGGAGTGGACCGACGACAGACTGAGGTATAGTGCCCGGGTGATGAGACAGATCGACGTCGAGTATATTGCGATGGATGATGAATTCGGGGGGCGGGGCCGCCGGGCGGGGAGGGGTTGGCTGAGAGAGGAGGAGGCTAAATTGAGAGAGCATTGTCTCAAGTCTTCGCGCCACCATGGTGGTGCTGCTTGCCGTTTGACACCACGTAACCCCCTACCTCCCCCTTCCTTGCGAAATCTCAATTTCTCCCGACCCCCCCCCCCCCCCCCCCCCCCCCCCCCCCGGGTTGGGGGGGGGGGGCCCCCC